CATGTAAAAAACGCATGAAAAATTGTCATATCTGTATGGTCATTATAGATGACAATAAGGTTATGTATTTGTAAATACATAACTCGGATGGAACACTTTCCTTAATTGCAATCGATTATATATTCTAGGAATCTAGGTCAACTATCTAAGGGGATTTAATCAAAGGAAGATAATTTTCACTGGTCCTGTAACCGTTTGAAGTAAGGATACTAGAAGGCATTAGGCTTACAAAATGTTAGCGATACGGCTGCGATAAATTTAACCGTAGAAAGCTTCGATGGGCCTTTTCTTGCATAAACATGGACACGGAGTATCGTCAATGTTTATTCCAGTCTAATGTCAAACATGACTTGAGGCGTCACAAGATAAGGCTCCTCTATAATAGTCTCAAAGTTAAAATATTTTTATCTTTATTACAGTGCAGTGATTTTACTCAACATGAATTGCTACGTTATACAAAAACATTTTTGCATTATCCTAGAAAAACTTAGATAAATATAATATAATAAAAAAAATATAATATTTTTGTGCAAAACATTACAGTAGATATGCGAATATATTGACACGGTAGTCCAGTTTAATCGCCTTAAATAAGTGTAATTAATTTTACACCCGCAGTAAAATAATTCCATTTAGGAACAGACCTGCGATTGGGAGCGAGCGATTTAACCCCGGTGCGGGCATTAATGCAGCTTCAAGCGAGAAGATACGACGTTGCGCGGACATTTGCGTCCGACTTAATTATCATTGCCCAGCGCCCAGCGCCCAGAGCCTAGCACTCAGCGCCTAGCGCCGTTACAGGGCCACGACACCGTACCAATGAGCTTTCTCAATTGTCCACGGTATGTACTGAAATATATTGATATCGCACTAGCCAGTATCGATGCCAAAGTTTATCGGTACTTGAACGAATAGGTTATGTGGCTGATATCTAACGGCTTTAAAGTAATCGATTCCTTTTTACGTTACCCCTTAAATACCTATGAACCGATCAGACTAACGGTATACTTTTAGTAATAAGAATTCCTACTTAATGAGATATGGAAATTATTGAAAAAAAATTTACTACAAGTGAAAATGAGGCGAATTTGTTTTCCTTCCAACATAAGAATTGATATTGATTTTCGCTTGTTTTTGTCAATCTTTATCTGATGTGCGATAAAATTGCAACAGAAGAATTGAACAAAATATTGAATAGTTAAACTAAACAATACGTACACAAATCAAACAGGATATCCAGCACATTGAGCGTAGCTGTATAGTGCAGATCATTTGCATGGCGCGCCGAACTGTTGCGTGTTGACGCCCACGGCCCGTGCCTGTGCAGTACCGTGCAATGTGCAATCGTACCACGTATCGGCATCACATTAAACCTTGTAAGCCCGCTACAATGCGGATTTCTACACGCTTCGTAAAAAAACACCTTTTTTTTCGTTGAATGCTCGCCGTCATGCGAATATTCTTGTCGCAATATATTTCTAAACGATGATTTTTCTCGATCTGCTCCATTTAGAGTCGCAGATAGTTCACACGACATGAGATTTCATATAAATGCAATAGTAGACATTGTTGACATACACAATTGCCTTTCAATAGCCATGTTTCATTATCTTCTTCAGTTCTTTGATCAAAAGTAGTTCGTGATTATTAGTAGTTGTTGATTTCATAGAGTGCTTTAGCCTGTAACCTATGATTTTCTTGAGTTGTAGAAATCCAGTTTTTTTCATCATCGATCGGACTTCAAATAACATTATTATTCTGTCAAGTTTTAAACGTTTAATTTTAATGCTTTAATGACTTAATCTAGTAATTAATGTGTAACTAATTAGGTGTATGGAAGTGCGTTGACATTCTCGACTCGTGATCGGTCGATGGGTAAGTCGATCGCATCGTCGACATCCGATACAAGGGATCGCCTGTCGCACGTCGACGGCGACGATACTGCACGTTACCTTGGAATCGCGCTTACGGAATACGCGTCTCATGCGTATCAAGTTTACACATTCTTCAGAAATCTCAGTGAGTCTTGAAACAATATGAAATTATAACCAAAAGAACACTGACTTCAACAACCAAGGTTACAACTATAGGATCCTATGTCAAACACTCAGAAATGAAATCCCCATAAGGGATCTTAAATAATGATTCAATCTTGGTTTTTGTAAAGATTTTAGTTTTTTTTATACATTAGGGTTGCAAACGAGCAAGCGGCCACCAAAATCCGCCGAAATGGCGAAGTGATCGCTGCCCATAGACATCCGCAATTGCAGATGCGTTGCCTACCCTAAATCGACGGAGGAGGAGACGAAGTTTTAATAGTTACACTTCTTTTGTCGACAACGCAAGGGCTTATCGTAAACAATATTAATTATTACCACCTAAAAATGACTCTAACCACTTTTATATATCTATACTAATGTTATAAAGAGGAAAGATTTGTATATTCGTATTTTTGTACGTATTGAAATAACTCAAAAACTACTGGGCGGATTTAAAAAATTCTATCACCATTCGAAAGGTAATTTATCTGTAAGTAACATAGGCTATATTTAATTATTACTATATAGCGATATTAATCGAGAAACTATTAATAATATTTTATAAAGAAGTATGTTTATCTACTAAAATAAATACTTGTGTGGATTTTTCTAACAAGTAACTACAGTTCAAATAAAGAACATTAAGTCGCAAAGATAAATTAAATTACGAAATTCTAGATATCATTATTTTTGCTTTAATCAAATAAGATAACATGCTAATTTCAAATGCAAATACCTTCCTAGTATGTAAACAAGTTCTCGGTGTCGTCCCTTGTAATTACGTCTTAGTATGGACCACGCCTAATCAATATGATACACGTAATTGGTCTATCTAATGGCGATCGCGGAAGCTTCATATCTCAGTATGACATCAGATGTAACCTACACGAGACACAGCAGTATGAATAATTAGAATTAAACTACGAGTACAATCAATAATGTCGATATAATAATATGCTATACATGTTTCTAAATCAAAGATCAACGGCTATATGTACATACTTTTTTTGTAATAGATTAATTTTGGCTGTATGTAACTTCGATACAATTTACAACAAATCACGTTAAAACTGACTAGTTGTTGCTCGCGACTTTGCAGGCGGGAAATTTAATAATCACAGAAAACGTAGCCTTTAGTTATCACTGATAACGTAGCTTTTTAATGGTGAAAGAATTTTTTAAATCGGCCCAGTAGTTTTTGAGTTATTACAATATATACAAAAATACAAATATATCCTCTTTATAATATTATTTTGTAATTGTCAAAATAATTTAAAATCGTCGTTATAAAAACTACGATAGTTAAAACTATGCTTTTTATTTCATAGTAAAAGTTTTGTAATTTTAAAATCGATCTCACAAATTATTTACTTAGTATTTCAATTTAGCCATATCCGTCAAATATGTGTAATATAAACTGCATAATTGCGATGTATGCCATAACCGTGCGAAATGGAAATCCGCTATTACATCCTACCCCTCTGGGTCAAGGGCGTGAGAGATATTCACATTTGTAATATGCACAATTTAATTATAAGTAATCTTAGAATCTAGATTAAAATAAAAAAGAGGAGTTCCTTTTTGCGTTTTCAACCCTAACCCCTTTATTTAAAATATTTGCATTGGTTTGCTTAATGTCCTAATTTAAAAACACTCGTGTTCTGTTCTTGAAACAAACATACCAAGGATTCGAAAATGCTCATAGCTATATGTGGCCGTGTATGAACTAGTGAAGACGATTCGCATTTAAGATGGTCACCTGCGAAACTGCTTTGCGAACGTGAATCAAACGGATGTAGTGATGTTATGTATCAATCATTGTAACGGATGGAGGAAGGTGAAATGAGGCAGTACATTTAGAGCTACGGACGCTTACGACACTACGTCCGGCGCGATAGTGTCCATTAGTGCTTATGAGAAAATATCTTCTTCAAAGACAGGTTATGCGAATCGCATTTTTAACCTTATCAAACATTAACTTTCGTCCGCGACTACGTCTGCGTGGAATTAAAAAAAAACTAATGTAAATATATGTTCGTTCAGACTTTGCAAAGTCTATGCCAAATTTCATCGAGTTCTGTTTAGCCGTTTTGACGGCAAACTCAAAAAGTTGCTTTAGTAGAGTATTAATATATTTTTAATTTACTTTTTATATATTTATTTTAGTCTTGACGATAACTGAGGTAAAAGTAAAGTTTTCAAAACAATAGAAACACATCTAAAAGTTAACAAGATTTGAACCGATTTGTATTAACCTCCTATCTCTATTTACTTATAGTAGAAATCTATACTACAATAAGTGACACTTTTAGTACGAGTATCCATTAAATGTGTCTAACTACGGCAGTAAGAATGTTGCGCATTTAACAAAAATAGTCAATACAGTTAGTATTGTTTCAATATGGAACCAATCAAAATCCATTAGCGCAAAAAACGTCAAGTCATGTTAAGTGTCATGATGTGATTACAAAAGTCGCAAAATGGCACAGTAAATGCAGTACGCGGACAAAGGGCCGGTTGCACGAAGGTTCGGGCATTAGCCGGTGTGATAACGGCGAGCTTATCACCGCGCCCGCGTCCACCGCGCAGCCACATTCACTCCGAATATATTCCGACCACCACCTCTTAGTACTTGGCCTGTTTTTATTAAATTCGTCATGTTTTATAAGTTGATGTCTTAATTAAGGAGCTTTTGGTGACAATTTTTAACTAATAAAAATTATGAATTACAAATAGCATGAACGATGCAAAAATATAGATACAAATTTATAATGAATAAATAAAGTGCCAGAAATAGAAAACATGAAATAGTTACATTTTACATATTCTTCACGGTTGTAAAATTTACTGATTTTTGATTATAGATTGGACTTAATTGTTTAAGATAGATTTAAGTTATAATATAGATTTAGTTTCCATTATTCTATAAAACATGTCCAATAACAATCGTTTTTGTTACAGTTCCGGAAAACACATTCGATAAAATATTGAAGTGAATGAAAACTCCTGGTAAAATTAATAAAAGTATCAAGAACGATTGGATAAGCTGCACAAGCGGAGATCATGCGATGCTTGACGCTGGAGTCAAGGAGAGCGGCCGGCGCCGGCCACGCCCGCCCCCCGCCCGCGCCCCTCGCCGCACACCCTCGCACGCCTGCCCGCTGCACCAACACATCGATACAGACAATTGTTATTCGTTCTATATCCTGCTTTTGCTATACCATTATCGGTCATAAATGCTGTATTTAATAGCATCACTAGTCCGCTAATCATACACTCGACAAAGCAGAAGCTTATTCTAACGAATGTACTTAACAATTTTTATTTGTAATAGCAAATTCTAAAAACCAGTCGGGTGTGAAAGATAAATGCTAATCAACTGTATCACTTGGAATTTTTAATAGATCATAAATAAATGAGTAAGTGATAAAAGGATAACGAATCACTCAGAGACAAACAGACATCCGCGATTGTTTCGCGGTAATTTACACATTAATTATTAAATCAGATCACATTCTGATCATTACGGATCTGTTTTGTGCTCGATCACAACGATAGATACCTTTCCGGCTGACCAAAGCGGATATTTATTAAAATTAATTAATGCACTAATTAATATACGGTTATTTCTAAACTGTAAAGAAGGAAAATGGATTAGTTAGAAACGGAACGAAATCTTAATTATTTGACGAACTCTTCATAACTTTTATGGTGGTCATTATACAGTACCTTTAAAGAAAACGCATGGCCTTAATTACACCATAAATCTTTTCCAGTGGAGTCACCGGTACCACATGAGTCTACCCAAATATGTTCTGCGCTAACAAAAACGCAAGGAATCATTCTCATCTTCACCACTTCAACAAACAATAAGTATAAAATAACCATAACTTTTGCGAACAGTGGCGATACATTTCTCTTCGTATAAAAATTAAGCCGTAAAATTTAACGATACGATCTCACCAAAAAACTTAAGGTCCACTGAACATAATTTATAATATTATTTATTTTTTTGCAAAAGAAAAGCCGTCGAAAGGGGCGCGAGGCATGGTGAGTCGTGAATCGACATTCGAGCTGTCAAAATACTGAGCCTCGGACCCGTTGGGCTCTTTGTGACGGTAATGATTATTATTTTTCAAGTTTAATTTCGGCGCAGCGGCGGCCGGCTGACCTTTTCACTCAAGCGTTATTTTATTTTATTTCAGAGTCGGTTATCATCAAACGTCGATCTGGAATGGTGGCAGTCGGCGGGGAAAACGAGGCTGTTACATCCGTTCTCTAAGGTCTTTGGCGACCACGCCTAGCTAAAATGGTTGCAATGCCTACAACTCGACTATAATACACGCTACTGCGCATTCGAAGCCGTTCATTTGGAGCTACTAATCTACGAGTTTCGAACGCCCGCTCTAAATATAGCGCGCCCACTTGTTTTTTATATAGCGACATTCTTAATATACGATTATTTCGTAAAAACGTTGCTGGATGAAAAAGGAAAGATTATGAACATTGTAATAACATCTGGTATACCCTTTTCCATTAGAGGTACTAAAGTATTTCTAACTAGTATGAAATATGTATCAAATTAAAAACTGCTAAGAAAATATTTGTAGCATGCGTTCTAATAATATTTGTATATTTTTGCAATCAGATTTTGTACTGTCAACTAATAAACTTTACAAAATAGATTACAAAAATGTTTTTATAAATAAAAATTCTGTTTACGATATGAACAAAAATTGTGGTAATAAATCTCTTTAAAGATGTTCAACGCCTTATAAGTTAATATCAAATATAATTTTACAGTCGAAAATGTCATATCCAATTTTAAACGCTTCGTAAGTCTGCGGAGATGTGAACCAGATACTCGCCTCGGGTGAACTTGATTGACGGGTTTTAATAATTCCGATGCGTTACTGTAATTCATACTAAGACAAAAGGTAAAAAAGCCTCTTCTATCACTAACGCCAACTACTGGTTAAATTTTTGTTAGCGTAATCGATTTGAATAAATACAAAAAAGTTAATTTGATTTTTATACGTCAAAACTTTTACTCTTTTTTTGATCCTTTTCTTTTGAGATTTTTGTCCGTAACATTTCAAACTCATAGTGTCTTGTCTAGTAATTAGATATGATATTGCAGTCTGAAAGTCGCGTCTGAAATCTAGTCAGATTACTAACTTCTTTACTCCAAAATAGGAAAATAATTACTCATTCAAGACTCTTTTTAACGTAAACATGCATCAAAATAAGTAATATTCCATTATATCACACCAAGCCACAATCGACTGACTAAAAGGCGTTAAGTTTATCCAAATTGAGATCGTTTCACCTCACGCTTTAACAGGCTATTCACAAACGCGGACGTGTGTATGTAAACCACGAAATCTGCAAGGCCTTTTAATTTATTTCAAAGAAAATGTACGAATATCCAACTTTTATGATACAGGAAATATAAGATCCAAACCGCCAATGTCATGGAAGTAAAGCAATTTCGTACTAAAAAAGCTGAAATAACCCTTGCTTCCATTTTTAAAATATTTTAAATTGACCATGATACCTGTAAAAATTACATACATGTTTTTTTTAATATACGAGAAGGGGGCAAACGATCGGCGTGAACACAAAGGTGATCAACGACGCCCATGGACATCCACAACACCAGAGGAACTACAGATCCGTTGCCGGCCTTTGAGGAAATTGTAGGCTCGCTTCTTTAAGGACCCTAAATGGTATTGGTTAACATGTGTTAAAATATATATTTCAAATTATTTATGTTGAGTATAAGTTTAATTTAATTTTACGGTTTTCATTTAATTGACAAAATATTAAACGAAAAAGTTTTTATTATATTTAGTGCAGATTAAATATTTTTTTTCAAATTGACTTAGTTCTTGTAAAAGAAACAATCAAAACTACGTGTTTAAACTCTTTACACTAATATTTTTAATATATTTACATATAATTGAGGCATAGGAGCGTTTTATTTACAGATATTAACTCAATAAGTATACAAAAATTTAAATTGTATTCAAGTGATATGCAGCTTTTCTCAGTAAAACCGCAATTATCTAAAAGAATTTATATCAGAAATGATTAAAACTTGTCGCAAAATATTAAACGTATTATTTTCACTCACCCTGTACTTAATTACATGCTATTACGTTAGAATTCTCAGAAACTTGAATTATTTAATATAGAATAAAAAATATAATGCTACTATAAAACAAAACAATTTTTAATTAAAAAAGGAAACATTAACAGGTTATTTATCTGTAACCGATGACTGTCTATATAGAGATGTATTATATATATTAAATTGTTGCATGAAAACCGACCCTAAAATAACGCATCTTGGAACGCTTGGAAGCATTTATTATTCAAAATGTGTTTGTTAAGATGTAGTAATGTGGAAGAAGCAAGAAAAGTAAGTCAGAACTGCGCTATGTAAGGATCCATGGTCTCCGCCTACCCGTTTGGATTACAGGCTTGAGTTATATTGTTGTTGTTTGTAAAATAATTGATTGATATTGAAAGATTCTATCTTATAAATTAAGCGACCTTCTTTCAACGTAAAGTTAATAATTAAAACTAAGATCGTAACATGATATTAAAATTTACCTTAATATTCTGATAGTTAATATAAAACTTAGTGAAAAACCTGTAAAAGCGTAATCTATTGCTATCTCTGTCTGTTCGGACGCAGTTAAAAAGAAAGGCATAGTTTTATTATTTTATTTTCGTAAGGTTACGTACGAAGGTACATGTAAATTGCACAATATTTATTTTTAGACCACTGTAAATTCCGATAACTTTATAATCTTGTATTTCCTGATCTCCTTAAAGATATGACTATTTCGATTTTTAAATCAAATTTTTACTTACATCTCAATCGGTTAAAAACGCGGCCAAGGAAGCCTTTAAAATGTATACCATTTAAAAATTAAATTAATTTTAAAAATTAAATTAAATTAATTTGACTTTGCATTATTTAATATAAAATAGATTTAAGGTGGTTTTAATTCATTTTTAATCTTAATACTTCCCTCGTTTATTTGCACTGAAAAGAACTATTTTCATTTTAAAATCTTTTTCGATACTTTGTTAAAAGTTAAATAAAATAGTACTCGCGTGACAAAAATTTTCGAAACCTTTAATAATTTCAAGTACAGCTGCCGTGATACACTTTTTAAACTTTTCTTGTAAACCAGTGAAATTATTCGAGCAAATTTCACACTTAACGTGTAATACATGCGATCTTACTGCTTAACTGGACAAAGTTAATAACAAACTTTTCGATACGAACTCAAAAGCGTTCAAAGATTAAAACGATATTATTTTCTCGGTGATTTTTTCGACGAGTTTTCGCGGTCACCGCAATAAAGAAGAGTTACGACAGTGTTGATTTTAACATAATGAGCTCAGTAATTTCACAACGGCACCTTATATTTTACGATACGCACTTATTACGTGATCTGAACTCGAGTCGAGACTCGATCACGCTTTTTTTCTGGAATTATGCGTTTCGAGTTCTATCTCCATCAAGGCACGGAAATAACCGTAAAATAAATTACACCACACATGAACAAATATTTTAGTAACTTATTAAAAAATCTGATTTTCGTTTGTGGTAAACACTTATTTTACTAAAGAAACTTAAATTGTGCGAAAATTAACAAAATTCACAAAATGGTATATAAAAACATCAAAAGCACAATTGTATAGTAAAGGTTCTTAACGAATAGCAACCTTATATGTGTTAGGGTCTCTAGCTATGATATAAGTTAAGCCAGTGATATAAGTAGCAAGTATATTAGATATAAGTATGGGCGTCACAGCCATGTTATGCTTTAATAAAACATAGTCTTCATTACCTCTTATGTTTTCTTCCGATTTGCACAGAATAACCTTACCAATATGGCAGACTAATAACCTTCAAGAATACATCAAAGTAGTCAAAAAGCTAACATAAGTATAAAATAACTAAGTAAATACACCTACTTTGAATGACTATTAGCAATATATCTCATTTAACGGCCAACCCAGTGTTTAAATAATGCAATAATATTGTACAGTGTTACCCCACACAGCTCCTCCAAGGTAATTTAAATTATTTCATAGTAATTGTATTTTAAATTGTGCTACTACTACGAACTCGATATTCAAACCAACATTTAATATTTTTTAACTGTTATATAAAGTAAAAGCGATGTCTCTTGTATAGTTACTTAAATGATTTTTATTTGAATTTTTGATATAGAAAGTAAATTCGAAATTAAAATTAAAAACTTTACAATTCATCACATTATTTTTCCCATATATTAGACTTCAACGGGAGAAATGCGAGTAGTCTACGAAACACTGAGACTTTTTGCGAAAATAAGTATAACAAAATAAAGCAATAAAAATTAAGAACATAAGTCAAGCTACAGTAGATATGGAGCAAAACCCGACCAAAGTTCGCAATGTGATAGCGATGTAAAAGACGCAAAACGGCGGGAAAAATAAAAAATGCCGTAGTAACCTGTGTGCAGACAAGCGTACGGGGCGGCGTCGCTTTTGCGACTAGCGCTATCGTTCAAGTCGTAGCCTGTACCGTTAGACAGAGAGAGCGAAACGGAGGCATATATTAAAAAGGGACGGCCGAAGGCCCGCGCCCCGTCCGCGAGCCATCCGGAAGCCTCTGAAACTGGACCGTTTTCTTTTCTTGTTATTATTGAGATCGAGTCTCAAGTTGTGTTGTTGTCGCGCGGCGCGCAGCTCGCGGTGATAACGCGATGCCACGGCGACCTGCGCACGCGCACCACACGTCGCTCCGCAGCTTTAAGCTCTCGCGCCCTCGCCGACACCACCCCTAGTGTTGGAATGGATTTACAAGTGATAGTGCTCACTGAAAAAAAAACATTGAATGATTAGTACTGTGTATACGATATTTGGAATTGAACAAAGTGTACGAAGGAAAGTGAAACTGATTTTGTGCAAAAATTCTAATACAGTAAAGGGATAATTTAATTAAACTTTTCAATTAAAGTGTAAAAAAAGAAAACTGAAAAACGTAACTGGTTGTTGTAAGGAAATTTCCGATAAAAACAGGTAGGTGTCTGTAATTAACTTTGATTTTTATTTTTTGCAATCATTTCGTTTTAATTCTTATTTGTATTAAGCATTATTGGTAAACCTTGATGCTTCAAATCATTTCAATGGAAATGTCAACACAGAAATCATTCAAAATTTGTGACTTTACAATCAGTACAATTTCGTTACTTTACGTTGTTGACTATTCGCTCGCAATTTACTTACCTTGTCAAAGACGATACCAGCATAGTGATAATGAGTTTATTATCGATACGGTATGTTAATTGTAATATTATAATATTCCGAACCCGATCTATAATTTATTTACAAATGTTCTAAATAACGAATTTGTTTAAAACTTAAAATAATTCAAAACAAATTTAATATTGAAAAGAAACCTTAAGTGTGCTTTCTCGCGCCTGATCAGTTTCTGATTTGAACTCGTTGCACTTAAAATCTAATGTGTTAGTTATAAATAAATTAAAAATAGAACTAATTAGGAAAAAATATTACTCGCAATAACACTTTAGAAAGAAGAGTTAATACAACATTACAAACATTTGTTAAAACTCAGTAACAATTTCTTTTAATTTCCCGATTAACCTTGATCAAAGTCCCATAAAAGCCGAAAAACAAAAGTGAAGGGTACAGTTTCACCACAATTTTCACTTGCTGTAACAATCAAATAAATAAAAAATAAAATAAACAAGATTATTCGACCTAGTAAACCAGAAAGTGAGTTACGCTATGTCGCCCGGGCCTGCCGCACGACGCCGCACTCTGCCGGCCGTCGGATAAACCTTTTTTGCTCGACTTTTATCCATTGTGCTATCGTTAACTTGAAATCAGCCAAATTCTTAATATATTTAGACTATTTAAAACATTTTTAAATATTTCGATTGGAATTTTTTTAATTAAATTTAAGGGACAATTGTGTTAATTTTTTAGTCTTATTTATATTGAAAATCAAGATTTATTTCAATCTTGTGTATAATAATAAAATAGAGAACATCCTTCGTGTATTCCAACTGGTAAACAAATAAATTTGCAAATTAAAATTCTTCAAAAACAAAAATACACAAAAACTGGATCAACGCCATTATAGCGTTCTGTGTTTCCCACATACGAACTCCTTATACGGCAATCGTAATATCGCAGACAAATAAAAATTAAAGCAGTCGGTTTCCGTTTAATCCACGTTTATTTCTTTATCATCTTGTTTCTTGTAAAAAAATTAAAATAACATTTAAACGATCATTAAAACAATGAAAAGAACACAAAAAATGCCAAATGAAACTAATCGTTCTGTTTACTAAAACACTCGTAAACAATTACCGTCCCTTTCTTTCTCCTTAAAAAAACTGAAATAATTTTGCAATAGTTTCAGCCGCATTAGAAAGCGACATTTTATGACATAACTATATGCAATCAAATTACAAGTCTAATAAGTACTACATTTATCAGAGATCTGAAATAGAAGTCAATTAAACTCTACCGAAAGTTTTTTTATACTGTTAGCGATACTTACGTTATAAACGTAGTAGCAACGAATTGATTGCGCCGTCAGAAGTCAATCATGGTCGTTTTCTTGTTATAGACTCCGTAGACCGCAGATGAAGATTGCGTTTTCGAATAAAAAAAACCTCCCTACTTTGAACTGCTATGTCATCTCTGGTATAAAAAATAGACATTTCGCTTTCACTGCTTGCAGAATAGGTGCGTAGAGTTAGGTAACTGACAGAGTTGATCTTATATCGATCAGGTGGCATAGACATTCCGGTTTCTTTATTCGTTTATTTTTACTTAAGAGCTGTCTGATTTTTTGTTTGGTTATTTTAAAAGCTGTTAATTAATTATCATTAAATAGTGATGTAATAAAGCAATTAAAATACGAAATACGCTATTAGAAATGCGATTTCAATATAAAAGTATAATATAATGGAATTACATTTTTATGTGTTGCATGACGCTTACGATTTTTATGTCATTAAATGTTTAGAAGTAATTGTAAAATTAGAATGTTAAGTTCTTAGTTAAGTTATTAAAAGTTTTAAATGCAAATTTAATTCTTAAGGAGTCACATAACTAAATAATCGTATAATAATTTTGCGATTGTCGATTGTTTCGCAGTCCATTCAACTGTTTAGTTGTGCGATAATTTAGTCAAAAGTGTTCGCGCGCTTTTACGTCTAATTCTTAATTTAAAATATATTACCAACATTACATATCAATTTACATACATTTACTTACACTAAATGTGACAAAATTATCGACGTAGGTGTGACGACAAATAGATGCTTGCAAAACGAGCTCACTTGACATGCGTCAAATTTGCATATAATTGCAGTTTACTACTAATTACCTACGAAGGTTCTTATGATGCCGTTTATTTCTTCTTAAATATTATTTTATAACCTATGTGATAAGTGGAATCTTTTGAACGCGAGTATAGCCATTTTTTTAATTTACTGTACTGTTGTTATGTGTTTTTTCAGATTTTAAGATTATTTTTCAAAATATAACGTTGAAAGAATTTCTTACTCTTCTTTCTAATACAAGTATTTAAATTTAATAATATTATTTAAATTATTACAAACAGCAGGAGGTATTTTTATTATAAACATCACTATTTGATATTGAATAATATCTTACAAGAACTAGTTAATGCATCTCAGCTGCAACGTGAGTATAATACAAAGTAACAAAATTCATAAAAAAAACTATCCGTCTGTCGCTAGGAGACCGTTATAAATGTATTTCGTCTGCTGCATCAAACACATATTGCGATGCAATAAATAAATTCGACACAACAAGGGGGTGTATTTATAATTCTGCAAGAAGTACGAGCAATTTTCAATCTAAACATACACTATTTGTTGATAAACCCGACCGAAATCGCTTGCACCTTTGATAGACAAAGCAATAGTTCTCAAAGAGCATTTGAGACAGAGACTGAGATCGCTAATAAAAATTCAAGGAAATTTAAAATAGTCTGCATTCAAGTACATCAATGATGAAATTCAGATTGTAAAAAAATGCACAGACGGCGATGTAGACGGTGTCGCATAATTTTTAGATTCATTTTCATAATGTGCAGTCGATTTGTTGAGGTCAACATTGGAAATATAATATATCTAAATCGGATCAGTATTACGTCGCAGTACATATCTATAAGCCATTGTTAATATAGCAAATATAAGAAGTATTTCGCATTACACTTTACCTACCACATCTATAGGAGAATATTCTTAGAAGAAGGATTCTATTTAACAATTCGTCAATTCTCAGATACAATTTTTTTTTTAAATACGCCAAACCAAAGTGCCATAGCTATTTAGTTAAGGCAGGTTGCTACTTACATCGCGCCTAAATCGATCTCGTCGATTAAAATGTCGCTAATACATAGTTTAAATGTTAAATCTGTGTTCGGTTTAAACTGATGCAGATATTTAGATCAGATTAACAACGAATCAAGAACATCATCTCCGGAAAGAGTAGATTAAACGATAAGCCATCACTTTCGAGTTACCTACTACGAAATCTATCTATAACTAACTTTCGCCCGCGACTCTGTCCGCGTGGAATTAAAAATAATTAAAGTTAGTAGCCTATGTGTTCTTCCAGACTATCCTCTACATCTATACTAAATTACATCGAAATCCTTTCATCCGTTTGAGCTACAAACTCTAACAAACATTCATCCATCCATCTAAACTTTCGCTGTTTCTATGTGTTTAGTTTAAATGGCGTTTTATAAATTTATTTTCTACAAAAAAACTTTCCTACACCGTCCAAATTAAGTTAATTTGTATGGCTCAAAACTAGCAGCAGTTCACATCTATCATTTTAAGCGACAAATTCAAGTCACAAAAAGAAAAGTGAGTATTATTTAAATTTATAACTTACTAAATGCTCGTATTGCGTTATCATTCAATCATAATACGCATTAAACTCGTGAGAACGTCGCAGGAATTCCTAAAAAACGGCCTAGGAAAGTCTCGATTAAGTTAACATTTGAGTTTAGATACTTATCAGTAATGCTGGATGAATCTTAAATCATATTAACTACGTATGTGACGTCATCGTCCGCTACAAATATCACCGGCGGCTTCATATCTGGTAAAGATCAGTTATATTACCCAGAGACCTAGTTTACTAGGAGCCATATAGTTCGCTCACACGTGTTTTAACTGCTTAAAAAATATGGCTTTCATTATCTCAATATATGTCTTCCACTGAGGGCAGTTGCGTAAGTTTAGTTTACCGCCGAGATGGCAATCGAGTGCATGGGAAGTCGATTGTTCTTCATACAAAACTCGTTCACACACATGAATGCCGTTTGCGCCTATATTGTGAGCCTTTCGATCGCTAATTCGATGCACTAGGAAAAGGGAACGAGGTTGATATACAAAATGACTGAGCCAATTTAATGCTGCGTTTGTCACTGATCGGCGAATCAATCGTTAGTCAATCATTATATCGATTAATCATTAATCGAAGTACTCATAACTATATTGACCGATTAATGGAAAGGAGATAGAATTTTGAATCGTCAATATCCATTAGCTTCGTAATAATTAACTTAATGGTACATATAGACATATTTAACAGATTCAACTGCATTCATATCTTCTACGTACATCCCTATATGTATAAATAACGATATTAAGGACCTGTCCCACCACTGGCTGATAAATTATCAGACAATTTAAAATGACGTCACTGTCATTTCCATCACATATTTTACACGTTGGATTGTTATCACACATTTACAATTTGGTGGGACAAGCCCTAAAAATGTTAAATGAAATAGTCCGTTAGACGATTATTTTTTTTTCAAAGTTATATCACTTACATACTTAATATGAACATATTATTAACTTTTATCGTTTAGTAAAAGTATTGTTAACCTTAAAAATTATCGATACGGTAAAATCAACCAAATCGTCCATGTAATATAGATCATTTTTAACTACACATGTAAATTACGTAACAAAACCATTCAGGCGGAAATTTAT